TACAGAGTTCTCAAGAAAGGTTCAACTATTTTTTAGCCACAGACTTCAACCAGACAAAAGTATACAGAAAGCCACAAAGGAACTACCGGAGCTTTAGCTGACCAGTTTTCCCAAAAGCAGAAGCTAAGTGTGGCTCTTCTCTGGGTTTTGGCATAGCTGCATTACTCTGATTTCAGGAGAGGAGACAGAGTTGGGAAATACCACCACCAAATCAGTCCCCAACCCCATCACTTCATCCAAATGGTTCTGCAGCCCACCAGGTTTGCATCATCTATAAGCATTCTTGCTGTTCCCTTAAGTCACATGTCCAAGGCATTGGCCAGAAGAACCCCATACTTGGAGGAAGTTTCTTGGCTACCTGTTTAGCCTTTTAACCAATCCAAGCCCATGAGTCCTTCTATGAATGACAAGCAGCCATGACAACAGCAGTTGGTTTCATTCCTTCCTCTCCAGCTAACACAGAGCTGGCCTCTACCAGGACTCCCCAACCCCCCACCCTTGACCCACTCCCAAGGAAGGCTCTCAAGGTCCTTGAAAAGCCAAGTTCATTAATTATACTTATCGAAGAATAAGGTGAAAAAGTACTCTGAAAGGAACACTCCACCCAAAATTCTTCTAAACAAAATGCACCTAAAAAGAGCCAAGAATAAAGTAAAGGATCATCCGCTGGTATTATTTTCTTCTGTCACATGAACCATCTTAACTGATGCTATTCAGAGGGATTTCCCTGTTTTGAACTTAAAAGAGATAAGGAACCAAAGACCAGAGATAAGAAACCAATGACCTCTAATATCATCAGGCATTCACAATAAGTTTTCAATTCATTTTCGTCGGGAAAAAAAAAAATTACCAGCACACAGCACTTAAAAGGATGGTGTCACACACATACCAACCCAAAAGGTGGAATGCCATGACTCAAAAAAAGCCTTAAGAAACCTTTAATAGAGATGACGGGAAAATAAAATGAAGGTTTTTCCCCTCCTCTCTTTTTTTTTTTTTTTCTAAGTTTTTATTGCAGCCCCCAAGGTGGTGCTAGGCCTTTGGTTAAATTTAAGTCTCAAGGACATATTATGTAACTTCTTGTCCATAGGAGAATAATAATAAAATATCAAGCCTAATCTCATTTGAACAATGTGGAAATAAGGAAAAAGCCCCCTCAAACAGCAGAGCAAAAGGAAGGAAGAAATCAAAACCTGCTGCAAGGGAGGCAAGGTCACTTAAATTTCAGAGCTGGAAGAACACATCTAATCCAACTCCCTCATTTTACAGATGAGGCAACTGAGGCCCAGAGAAGGTAAATGACCTGCCCAAGGTCACATATCAGATTAGTGGCAGAGTGCAAGCCAGAGTGTACCTGGTGCCAGCCCAGAGCCACTAGTTTTAGCTTGAACAAGAACATGGGCTCTGAGATCTACTGTGAAAACTATCCACATCAATAGAGAGAAATGATTGTCTTCACCTCAGTTCTTCCTACAAGGGGTTGGGGGGGGGGGGAGAAGGAGAGAGGAAAGAAGGAAGGAAAGAAACAAGGAAGGAAGGAGTATGGTTCATTCATTCATTCAAGTCTGATGTTAAAATCCCTGAAAACATCAGCAATTACTTTTAGCTATTCCTTGGGACAGGATATCAGACCCTCAATTTTCATAAAGGCACCTATAGGTCAAAAATATCTGGAGAGGAGGAAAGCCAGAAGATAGGGCTCAAAAGGGGATACCTAAACAAACAGAAACAACCCTCTCATTTCCCAAGTTTATTTCTTGCTCGTATCCTTTTTTGCTCTGACTACTGATGCTAATGTAGTGAGTCTTGGGACTCCAGTTTTTGTATGAGCAGGATTGAGGTGGAAGCAACAAAACCTTTCAAAATCTTTCAAAGGGGGGAAATATGAATATGACCCACTTCTCCCTACCACAGCTACCTGGAACTCAGCGAAGAATAAGGAAACATTCTAAGCAGTCAAACCGATGAGACACCGAAGCACTGAAGAAGGCCTTTTCAGTACTTTACAGGAAAGTTTCTTAGGACCCAAGCCAGTTTTCCTTGTGTTTTAAAGATGGTTCTAGCAGGTCTAGTTATTTCGTTTTCTTGCCCAAGCAGCTGGAAAAATGAATTCGAAAGGAAAGAAGAAACTCCTAAAGGGAGGTACACATGAAGTGGTCGGAAGAGAATGCTGGAGGGTATGTGTGTAAAAAAAAAAGTGAACATTCAAAAACCAGAGCAGTCTATGACCATTTACTTTATCAAGGCAAAACCTCAGCAGCCTTGGACATCTACAAAGACAGCTAGGCACAAAAGAAACATGCCTAGTATGTTCTCTGATATACATATTAAATAACTCCACCACCACCCCCCAAAATGGCTAAAATAAAAAAGGTTTACTGCTTAAATAAGGCAAGTTTGGATAATGCAGAAAATGCCATTCCACAGTAACAGCAGATAAACAAGATAAACAACCCAGTAGCACTGGGACAGGTGCTAGGGACAAGACCAAGCTGAGGATGCTTCTATGAATGTGACCACTAACCTTATACATCCTTCCTGAAAGATATTAGGAGAAATTACCTAGTTGTCAGGAAAAAAAAGAAAAGGAAAGGTTTACACAAAAGATTCTCAGAGCCTATCTTCTATAAACTTTCCAAAGAAGAATTTAGGCTACTATTTACAGATAGCTATCTGTGACAAGATGAGGTCTGCCTTTAGAAAGAAAAAAACAAAAAGGCATTTCCTTCCCTCTAACTCCTTTTCAGAGTTACTGAAAAGTTACTAAAAAGTTTTGAGTTACTAAAGAGTTACTAAAAAGCTTTGAAAACTGGAAAAAAAAAAAAAGAAAAAAGAAAGCATTTCCTCATGTTGTTATTATCTGCTAGTCTTAGCTCCATCTACTGAAAAGTTGGTAGGTGATTTTACAGGTAATTGCTTTCATGTACTCAGTTACCTCAGTAACTAAAATTCATCAGCCCAATCTGCTATCGTTAAATAAAATGCCAGTAAAATTACTTAATAATGAAAGGAGCCAACCATAGAAAACTATCAACAAAAAGGATTCTGCCCTACTCAGAATAAAACCGCTTCTTCCAAACAACTCTAAAAAAGATCTGAACTAATCTAATTTTGCATAACAGCTAGTAACTATTAACCAGTTACCATCAAACCAGGAATAGAAATATTTCACCTCCACAGATGCATAAGGAGCACCATGGGAAAATGTAAAAATTTCCCTCTCCAGATGGGCATAGTCAAAAAGATAACTGCAATAAACTTTTAAAGTAAAACGTCTATCATCTGGAAGAGCATTTTATTTTGCCTTCAAAATTTCCATTACAAATAGCCCCCTTTACACCATGCCCTTCCCCACAAAAATGAATTTTTAACTTTGAAATACAACACAGCTAATATGTCTTCAGTTTACCTGGATAATTAGAGTATGGTAATCCTTAAGCTAACCACACAGCCTGTACATCTACAATGGTTACAGGAGGAATCGTGAGAGGAGACCTATTTAGTGAGGAGGTCGACACAAATGAGCCGTGCTTCTAGAAAAACAAGGTTATATGGCAGTGATTTACTCATTATCTTTGTATACCAGGGGTAGCATACTATAAAAAATGAGACAGCTTATATCCCATAAAACAATCTACTCCCTGGAAAATAAAGGCAACACCATTAAGGATTCCCTTTGATAACGTACTGAAAGGCACTGGACCAAAATGGAATGGCCTCATACTGGATTATAAAGGTACTTGATTCAACTCTCACTCAGCTTTCAATGAAATTCAACATATTGAGATACGAAATAGCTGGAGAAAACCTACCCAGAACCATATCCTTATAATAATCAGATTCTGAGAACTGAGGAAACTATCCTACCCTAAAGTAGCTGTAAAATTTTAAACCTAGTGATTCTTGAGTCTTACTCATCAAAGATGACTACCTCTAAGAAATGGAAATACTGTTTGACAACTAAGCTCTCAGAAATAACTGATCATTAACATACTAGTTGTGTTCTCAAAAGCAGGTGACTGAATCTAGGTACAAATATAAAGCAATTAATAACTAGAAGAACTCCTACATATTGGTAGTAACATTATGGCTCTTAGCAGAAAGAAACCAAGACAGGTGGCTTGGCTTCAAAGATAGACTTCTTAGCGAATATTTTCCACATACTTTCCCCAGATGACTAAACTTGAAAACCTTCCCTAAAGGAGAAAAGGAGGTGATGGATGATAGCATAGCATGCTAATGATCCTAATCAAATAATCTGAATTTTTAAAATCTTTCCCTTCACTCCTATTCTTCATTCACAGTAAAATAGACCTAAAGTCCGCAATTTCTAGAGAATGAAGGTATCTTTTTTAAAAAAATCTGCCAATAAAACCCGAATCACCAAACATTTATAGATTAAAATTAGGTCTTTAACAAAAGTTATCTGTAAGTACTCAAGAGCTCAAATGAGCCAGCAGAGAAATTATTTTAAAACAAAAGACATGTAGCTCGGATGGATCTATGTTTACATCACAGCAATAAGCAAACTCAGTGGTTTCCAGAATGGTCTTACGAAGAAGACCTTCTGAGCAAGGACACAGACGACTTACCCATTCAAGTCAACAGACGGATGACTATTATGCATAGTGCTTATCAAATCTCAAACTTGTCACACACCTTAAGAATCTTATTACATTTAAGAAGGCCCACCAAGCGATAAGTAAAAGGATCTGAAAGATACCCCTTGGTTTTATTTCACACTGTTTATCCTGTAGACAACCTATTTATCTTATAGACAATCAGGCCTATTTTGCTACAGTAAAATAAAAGCTTAAAAAAAACCCAACCAACTCTACACTTGATACATAATGTCCGGCGGGGAAGTCCTGGCAGAGTGTGAGGGAAACCAAAGCTGCCGGACAGTACTGGCCGCTGCCTGTCATTTAGAAGGTGTCCTGCTTCTGAGGTTGAACTCAAAAGTGCAAAAGAAAACAAAACTTTAAAAATCAAACCTAGAATTCAACTTGGTATGTTGAGATCCGGTTTTATTTATGCTACTAGCTAAGTAAAAAGCATACATATTGTGTCTGTGGTACAGTCAATACATTTGCAACTTTTCTACGTAAATTCTCTATACAAAGTCACTGCCAACTGATATGATCATTGATGGCAAAGGGCTTAGAATAACCAAAAGGTATAAAAAGTTTGCAGTCTTGCCCCAAGATACAAAAACTGAATTTTAAACAATGTCATAACATACATGATTTAAACAGTATACGAAAAAAAAGTCACACATCAAATCAAGTACAAAAATATCCAAACTACCTATTATGAACTGTAATGTTTCCATTATTCTGCACAGTATTTAACATAGAATTTAGCAGTTTCCAAAATACTCACTTTTAGTTTAAGCATTGCCACCTTTGCAGAACAGTGAGATATTAGGTGGAGTGACACTGCTTTTAGTGTTTTTAAAAATACAAAACCTTTCCTTATGAATTCATGAAGGAAAGAAATTCCTCTTCTAGGCTACTTAGTGACCAACCTTATGCCTAGAAATAGAGAAGAATACATCTACTGTATAACAGGGCAAGAGTAGTTCTTAATAGTTACCCAACAGGGATAACAAATGTTAATTTTAAATGGTATTTCTCTGTGGAGTAATTGTAAGGAATTCTCAATATACACACAGATTAGTGTTTTGCCTTGGCAAAAATAAAACTGAAGTTGCAAGACCATCTGAATTGAAATCATCTTCACTAGTTTAACTTGCAAAAAAATATTTTGGATAAAAGGTTATAATACATTACTATCTTATTTTTTAAACACAGAGTGAAGTTGCTCTTGGTAAAATTAACTCACCCACATGGCACAATATTTGGAGTAAAGTATGTTCAACAATAACAACTCGCACACAAAATAACATAGGTGAATTAACTTTGAGAACTTCTCTCCTTTAAAATCAGCAATATTGAATTTATTCTGTAGAATAACACATGTATCAATGTTCTGCATATAAAAGACTCTAAGACATTTTAAAGGGCTAAATTTTCCAGCACTGGAATGATTCCTTCATACATAACTGGTGAGGATTTAATAAGAATGTGTTTTTCCTGATCTTCAAGCTCTGAGCCATGCCTGAAAAGTTCTAAATAGGAAAAAAAAAAAAAATGTTTTAATCCAGTTTCTGTCTGCTAGGAGCAAGGCAGCAAACACACTTTTCAACCCTTTATGAAAAGATAAAGCAGAACAAAAGTGAAATATATATTCGGATTATAAACAGGATTGTATCTTATAGTCCATCATCCTGACAACGTTAAGGGCCCCGACAGTGAAAGACCTCAGTCTAAAGGCTGTGGGTCGGCAATAGGCATGGTGTGAAGCACTTCATCTAAGAGTTGGAGGGCCCGGTGTAAGTGAATCTCAATCCAGCAAGGCGTTTCTTTGATGCTTTGTCTTGGGTAATCCGGTCCCCAGCCTTTCACAAAACTCATCCTGAGTATGCACAAGCGACGAAGGTCATCAACGCCAATGCCGGCAGCCGCTGACAAACCTAACGGAGAAGATTTGGAAGACGTCAGAGGGACAGGCTGGTATCTTCCATCCTCCCTACACCTTATTAATAAAGTGACCAACCAGCTTTCTTTACTTCATGCTCCCCAGCATATAACTTCTCTGTCAAAGTGCCAAGAAGTACATGTAGATCTACAACTTTATCAACAGGGACTGAAAACTTTCGGTTAAGACAATTCACATTCCACATGAGTCTTCTAGCTACCAGCAATTATAAAGTAAGTTACCACAATCCACCAACACCCCACCTATTTTTCTCTTTAGAAGGAGAGGTGAAGGGTTTTTTTTAAAAAAAAAAAAAAAAACAACTTGTTTTTAAGAGGCAGCACATGTCCACAGATTGGTTCTAAGAACCTTACTGTCTGTTTGAACAGCCTCATTCAAAGTAAGACCTGACTAACCGTGAGACAGTTAATAGTCCTGGTTCCACTAAGGATTTCTTGGATGACCCAGAGGATGTCTGTCTCTTAAGTTCACAGTGTCACAGAGATACCGTGCCATTACTCAATGGGGGCAGTAGTTAAGAATGAGAAATTTAATAACAGCTCTGGACTCTTTAGTAAAAGCATGTTTATAACATCAAAACTAGCAAATTAATGGTTTAGATGCTCCAATTATTTAAAAAGCCAATTCTCTAACTGGATATGTCTTATCTACCTCTACACTGTAAACTCCTGAACATAAGTCACAAAGGAGATTCTGCAGCTAATTTTCCAGTCAGAACATACAGTCATATAGTCAATCTCCACTCATCAGTATCACAGTGAATCTAATGGGAGGCGTCTGCATGTGCTGTAGAGAAACCTGCAGGGCCACTGCAGTTTTCTTAGCCAGTGTGATTTGCTTACCACACTGAAGAGGTTAAGAACAGGGGTTGAATGAATCACTAGTTATGCCTTCAGACGTGGAAGATGGGTGCCACGTGTTTCCATCATAAAAGTCTATAGTCAGGAGTTTAACTCTGCAGTAAAAAATTCCCCATCAGTGTGAAACCTGGCACACAGTTCAATTTTACCCTAAAATTAAAAAAAAGTCTACAAGTTATCAAAATACCACCCTCACTTAGTTTTCTCTCCATGCTTAACATACTTAAAAAAAAACCTGGAGAGGTACCTAATTCTGAAATTGATATATGCTTTCCTTCTAGAATAAAGCCAAGCACGTCAGTGATTACAACCCACCCTTGCTGGTGAGGTAAGAATTAAAAGCATCAACAACAACAACAAAAAAATAACAGGAGATTGAGCAATATAATCTAACAATAACCCCCTTTGTCCTTTATCCCATATTCCCTTTTTGATACAGAAAGAATGAAAGTAAGGTCCTAGACAAAGGGCAACTATTACGGAACAGTTTTTTAGTTCAAAATGTTATTATCCCAGTAAAAAAAAGTAGTTTAGTTTTCTGTTATTGCCTAAAGTAACTAAGCAACTGAGTGAATCAAGATAAAATACCAACTATTACACTTCAGGACAAAAAACTGAAAGCATACTTACTGATGGCTGGAGCTATTCCACCTACTGATCCGGGGCCAGGGATATTTCCCGCCACAGCTGCTGCCTGGGCGGCGGCGGCAGCCTGTGCGGTGGCCGCCTGCTGCTGCATCTGACGGTGACACTGACGCAAGTCAAAGACCTTGAAACAAAGAGCATTAAGTTCAATGCTAGGAGTCCATCAGAAATGCTGCCACCGCACATCAAAAACCAATGCACGATTTATTTAAAATTCATAGCTCCACGCAGCTCTAAGAAAAGAAATTAATTTAAAAATCTAAGTTTTTATGTAGAGTCTAACTAGTGGTTAGAGAAGGGGACTGGAGCTCAGCACGAGGCACAGTTCACTATCAGGAGAATTCTGGCTGCCACAGGCCTCTATGGCCCTTATCTAATTCAATGTGGGTCAGTCACTGTCCCTATGAAAAAACCCCACCCTTTATCCTTTATTCATAACCAAATTGCTGAGAGTGCTCTTTAGGCTGAATTGATGGTCTTGGTCATGTGCCAACTTCTTTATCATTCTAGCTATTTGGAAAAGTGTAATAAATGGCACTTGTCACTATTTAAGAAAGCATCTATACTTTTTAGAGATGTACACTTTAGTACATAAGAGCAAAGTAACAAGATATCTAGGACTCATTTTGAAATACTTAAGAAATAAGGGCACCTAGGTGGCTCAGTCAGTTAAACATCCAACTCTTGGTTTCTGCTCAGGTTGTATCTCGGGGTTCTGAGATCAAGCCCCTCATTGGGCTCTGTGCTCAGGGTGGAGTCTGCCAGGCCCTCTTCCTTGGCTCCTCCCTGCACCCCTACCCCACTCTCAATTCTCCCCCACTTGTTAATAAAAAAATTTTTTTAATACTTAAGAAATAAAGAAAAAAAGGATGGATCAAACAAATGTAAAATTGTAACAACTACTGAATCTCAGTGATGGATATACAGGATTTCACTAAACTAGTTTCTCCACTTTTCTGTATGTTGAAAAGTGCTCGTAATTAAAAAAGTTTAGCTTTGAATCTTATCACTAATATCTGCTAATTACATGGGCTAAGATTCTTAATCTCTGTGGAGCCTCAATTTTCTTATCTATAAAATGGGAGTGCTAAGTGTACATGCTTTTTCACAGAGTTGTAGTAAACTTAGCATAATATACAGTAAGCTGTCAATAAATGCTACCTAGTATTTTGGTTTCAGCCTCCCCTGAATCATTTACCTTTCAGGACAACATAAGGAGTTCCTAAGTAATTTCAGGGTTATTTACCAGCCACACCAAGGGCACCAAGGGCTGGTATACTGAGGAAGGGACTGAAACTTTTATCTTTATCCTCATGAAAGTACTGACATACTCTTTAAGTAAGCAGTAAGTTACAAATGACAAATCATATCATCTTTTTTCTAGGAAAAAAACAACTTCCCAAAATAATGTATTTGCTTATATTTGCTTTTTTAAAAAGCACTGAAAGGGATTTCTGGGTGGCACAGTCGGTTAAGTGTCCAACTCTTGCTTTAGGCTCAGGTTGTGATCTTGGGGTCGTGAGCCCTGTGTCAGGCTCTGAGCTCAGTGGGGAGTCTGCTTGAGATCCTCTCTCTCCCTCTCCCTTTGCCTTTCCCACTCATAATCTAGCTCTAAAAAAATAAATAAATCTTCTTTTAAAAAAAGCACTGAAATATTAACAAGCAGAGTGGTCATCTACAGAAGCCACAGGAAACAAAACAGAGTGGAAACAGGCTGCTCAACGCAAACTTTTTATATTATCTTAATTTCTGAACCATGTGACTATATTCCTTATTCAGAGAGTACATTAAATTATTTTAAATATCCTCTCAGTAAATGAAGTCTTGCCATTTGCGACGACATGGATGGAACTAGAGGGTATCATGCTGAGCGAAATAAGTCAATCGGAGAAAGACATCTATCATATGATCTCCCTGATATGAGGAAGTGGAGATGCAACGTGGGAGGCTTGGGGCAGTAAGAAAAGAATACATGAAATAAGATGGGATCGGAAGGAAGACAAACCATAAGAGACTCTTAATCTCACAAAACAAACTGAGGGTTGCCAGGGGGCAGGGGGTAGGGAGAAGATGATTGGGTTATGGACACTGGGGAGGGTATGTGCTATGGTGAGTGCTGTGAAGTGTGTAAACCTGGCGATTCACAGACCTGTACCCCTGGGGGAAAAAAAATATATATATATGTTTATAAAAAATAAAATTATAAAAAAAAAAAATTAAAAATTTTCTTAAAAAAGTGAAGGAAAAAACAAACAAAAATCCTCTTAGTATGCACAAAACCCAGTATGAGCAAGCACAATTATCTTTAACCAAAAAAAAAAAGAAGAATCATCATCATCATCAAAGAATGCATAACACGCAGCTTTATCAGATCAACAAGAAGAAGTTTGGAATCCAAACCACTAATTTTCAGATACCTTAAAAATAAATTCTGATTGTCTTTAATCATGGTATTTGGTATTAAGAAGAACACAGAACTATCCTCTCTAAATTACAATTCATATTCTTATTTACTTATTTCTCTATACAACGTCGATCTTCTACCATCAATGAAGGACAAAACTTATACTATCTCATTCTCTGAAGAGGTATGAATTTGTCAAATATATAGGTATTACCCTGCCAAACTGTAGTTCAAAAAGACTGCAGGACAGAAAGCATGAGAGTCGGGTCTGAAAATCAGAAATCTCACAATGCCCAGAACAGGAAGCATTATTTTTTCAAGATTTCCCAAGAGTCCATTAGACTCTGAACTTTTCCACTGGGCTATGACCTCTCAGAAGGCATTACACCCAGTCAGTACAAAGCAGGAACTCAAATATTTGAAAAGCCAAACAGTTCTACAACTACTTTTTTTTTAAAGAAGGAAATTAACAAACTTTCTATTTTAGAGCAGTTTTAGGTTCATGCTAAAACTGAGCAGAAAGTAAACAGAGTTCTGTCCCCCCTCAAGAACAATGTCCCCTGGCACAGTGATACATTTGTTCATTTGTCCTAATTGATGAACCCACACAGACACATCATCACCCAAGGTCATAGTTTACATTAGGTTTCACTCTTGATTTGACATATATATATATATATATATATATGTACATATATATATATGTATACACACACACACAATGTGTATATATATATACATATATATCTCCTACACACACACACACACACACACATATATATATATATATATATATATATCTCCAATACTGTAGTACCATAAAGAGTAGTGTCAATGCCCTAAAAAATCCTCTGTGTTCTGCCTATTTATCCTTCCCTCCTTTCTTATCCCTAGGAAACCACTGATCTTACTGTCTTCATAGTTTTGCCTTTCCAAGATGTCATATAGTTGTGTTTAACATTTAGGTCTTTACAACCACTTTTAAAAAATTGTTTTAACCGGGATGCCTCCATGGCTCAGTCGTCAAGTGTGTCTGCCTCTGGCTCAGGTCATTATCCCAGGGTCCTGGGGTCAGGCCCCACATTGGGCTCCCTGCTCGGCGGGAGGCCTGCTTCTCCCTCTCCCACTCCCCCTGCTTGTGTTACCTCTCTCGCTGGGTCTCTGTCAAATAAATAAAATCTTTAAAAAAAAAATTGTTTTAATCATCACTAACCAAGTATGGTACCTATATAATCTTACTCTCTGGGAACAGGGAATATAACTAACTTACAAATTCCTAGGGTTCAAATATGCTCTCAACATCCCCCCACTCCCCACCATAAATAACCAATAGATCTTCACACATCGATTCCTTACAATATGTTGTAAACAATCACAATTATGAATGTCTTAGCCTAAATCTAGGCTAACGTCAGCTACAATTATAGTAGCCATAAAAATGAAATTTTAAAATATTATCACTTTTATCTGCAGATGTAGAAATTATTTGTTAAGCACCTCAGCAAACCCTTCCACAGTGGATTATTTATGTAATTAAAGCACTCGAACCAGAAAATTTATAATTACTGGCTATATTGCTAAGTGAAACCTGGGTCGCCTCTCTATATATATCTGATCCATTAAACCATAACAGGTTTTATCTGTTATACCGGATGGCAAAATGAAGGCTATCACTGAAATGCAATCATTTTGCTTTCAGAATCTGACTCAGTTGTTGGTAAAGACAATTCAAAGGAACCAAAGGTTTAAATATTCTTTTGCACTCAGATCCAAAAGATATTTCTTCCTTTCTTTCTTTCTTGTTTGGTTTTTGTTGTGGTTGTTGAAGATTTTACTTATCTGAGAGAGAACATGAGTGGGAGGGAGGGGCAGAGGGATAGTGACAAGCAGATCCCTCGCTGAGCACAAAATCAAACGTGGAACACATGACCTGAGCTGAAGGCAGATAACTAAGCCACGCAGGCACTTCCAAAAGATATTTCTGATCACCATTCCTGACTTAATCACTTTCATTTATTTAAGCGTGTTTCCTATGGTTAATCTCATGTAAGTTTATTACATCCTATTACTTAACCCAAGTTAGTGTCTTATAAAGCTCAATGTGAACATCTTCAGGATACTGTCTTTCAACCAGTCAAAATTTTGGTATTTTGCATATATAAGGCTTAATTACAATACTCTGAGTTTAAATCAACACCAAAAACTAGAAACCCAGAAGAGAAACGGGTAACTGGTGTTGTTATATTGGGCATTTGAACATAAGACTGAATTAAGAATTTATGAAGTTACTGGACCTGGAGGTAAGAATCACAATATATGGCAATTGAGAATCAATTTAATCAATCTGAAGGTTATTAGGATTATAATAACCTTCAACCTAGCCTACCCGTGGTTTAGAAGCATCCCCTAACATGTATGTGTTCAAAAATAAACCTGACTCAGCATCAGAGAAATGTAAATCAAAAACCAGCACAATGACTCACACCCACTAGGATGACTAACATCAAAAAGACAGATAATAACAAGTGTTGATGAGACTGCAAACTGTAAACCTTCCCACACTGCTGATCAGAATTTAAAATGGTTAAACCACTTTGGAAAACAGTTTGGCAGTCCCTCAAAATGCTCGTTACCTCATAATCTAGCAATTCCACTCCTAGGTATACATCCAAGAGAAATGAAAACATACATTCACATAAAAACTTGTACACACTAAAGTTTATAGTAGTATCATTCATAATATAGCCAAAAAGTGGAAACTCTTTATCTATCAACTGACGAATGGATAACAAGATGTGGTATATGGAATATTATTCAGCCATTAAAAAAAAATGAAGTACAGATACATGCTATGTGGATGAAGCTTGAAAACGTTATGCCTAGTGAAAGAAGTCACGTTAAGACCACACTGTATTAATTCATTTATAAAAAAGGTTCTGAATAGGCAAATCTGTAGAGAGAAAAAGTAGATGAGTGGTTGCCTAGTGCTGAGGGAAATGGGGGGGGTGGGGTTTGAGGAATGACAGCTAAAGGGTACGAGATTCCTTCCCAGAGTGATAAAATGTTTGAAAATTGATTGTGATGAGGGTTGCATAACTCTGAATATATTTTTAAAAATCACTGAACTGTAAAATTTAAATGGGTGAATTACGTGGTATGTGAATTGTATCTCAATATCTCAATAAAGCTGTTAAAAAACCTGACTACCCAGTAGTATGCACCATAAAACAAAACAGATCTTACTTTTGAAAGCAAAACAGCAAGGCCACTCAGAATTCAAACATTTGCTTCACATAAAGCTTGTAAAATGCCATTTCATTACATCAGATTTTCATGAATGTAAGGGGACTATGACATCATGAAAGATGAAGGGAAAAAAATTAACATCTTAGTAGAACGCCCCCCCCCCATTTAGTTCTAGCTTCTTGGTTCATAAAATAAAAGAATGGTTCTTCAAAGCTTTGTTTTCTTCATTTTAACTAAAAAGAGAAAAATATGTTTGTATGTGCATGTTTAGGGGGTTAGGGGGAGGTATATTCCCAACGTGTGGGTACTAATCCTTCCGGAAGTTCATGTTACCTGAATATAATTCATCTCAGTATTATTATCTCTGGTGGTAATACGACAATTTAAACAGCACTATACATATCCTTTAGTTACTACTGCCTAAAAAATTCACAAATGAAGAAAATGCCAATGGTTAAGACTTAGCGTATATCTGCATCTCTTTCTTTCTGGCTAGTAAGATTCTTCTGAACAATAATAATATGCTTGGTAAACAAATAATTCTTTTTAAACCTTAAACAGTTATTACAACAAAACGGTATGCTGTTTTTTACTCCACTAAAGTGTCCCACAAGATATTTATTGTTCATGGCAAAAGCCTGAGATTACTATAAAAATCTACCCATGACAGTGTTTTATCAAGTGATTTTATGTCTCATACCTCAGGAGCTTTTCAAGAGCCATCTGTACCAAAATAGAGATGTTACATTTATTTAAAAATCCTTGAAATTACTCTACTTATACAAAATTCCACATTTTTTAACTCAAATGTTTTAAATATGACCCTACATCAAATAAATTCGTAACTACCATCTGACACATAGTATATAATCCACACTCTAGTTCTTTATCCATACACAATCCAGAGATTTCCAAGTCAAGATAGATGAGTAGGTATGCACAAACAGCTTCTTTCTCTGCTAAGAGCACAAAGGATAGAAAAACTATTACAAGTATATATCCTTCAAGCCAATAGTAAAATTCACATGGAATTTTCACATGGAAAGAGCAGTCAATAGCCAAAAGAATCCTGAGAAAGGACAAAGTTGTAAAACTCACACTTCCCAATTTCTAAGCTTACCACAAAGCTACAGTAGAGCAGTACTATCAAAAGAAGATACACATACAGATAGATAGATAGATAGATAGATATAAATATATAGATATATATGATCAATGAAACAGAATTGATAGCACAGAAGTAAAAGTAACCTTTACATTCAAGGTCAACTGAATTTCAACAAAGGTGTCAAGATAACTCACAAGGGAAAGAATAGTTTTCAACAAATGGTTGCCAGAACAACTGGATGTTCTCATTCAAATGAATAAAGCTGGATCCCTTCCGTACATCGTACACACAAATTAACTCAAAATGGAGCACGGACCTAAATTAAAGAGCTAAAGCTATAAAATGCTTAGAAGAACACATAAGAGTAAATCTTCATGACCTTGGATTAGGCAATGGTTTCTTAGAAAAGACACCAAAAGCAAAAGTGACCAAAGAACAGCTAAGTTGGACTACACCAAAATTAAAAATTTTCATGCTGCAAACCATACCATCAAGAAAGTGAAATGAAGGACAAGCCAAAGAATGGCAGAAAATATGCACAAATCATGTATCTGATAAGGGACTAATACCCAAAATATATAAAGAACTCTTACAACTCAATAATAAAATGACAACCCAATTTAAAAATGGGCAAAAGATCTGAATAGATATTTCTCCAGAAAAGATATACAAATGGTCAATAAACACATGAAAAGATGTTCAATATTATTAGCCATTAGGGCACATTAAAACCACAATGAGATGCTGCTTCACATCCACTAAGATAGCTAAAATAAAAAAGATAACAATAAGTGTTGATGAGAGTACAGAGAAACTGAAACTCATATATACATTGCTGGTGGAAATGTAAGATGGCATATAGCCACTTGGGAAAACAGTCTAGCAGCCCATCAAAATGTTCAACATAGAATCAACCCTATGATCCAGCAAATCCACTCCTACATATATATCCAAGAAAAGGAAAACAAACATCTACCTAAAATCCTGTATATGAATGTTCAGAGCAGCATTATTCATAAGAGCCAAAAAGTGGAAATAATCCATGTGTCCACCTACTGATGATAGATAAACAAAATCTACAGTGGAGAGCAGGAACTAAAGATAGGAGGTACTTGGGGTACCAAGACTAAAAAAAGATGTAGAGGTTAGTAATTCAACTTCTTATAGTAATCTGGAAAAAGACAAGAACCAGGATCTTTGAGGGCTACAACTGGGTACCTGCCCATGAATTAAGTGCTAGTAAAACACTTTGACAGCTAATTTGGAAAATGCACCTAGGAATAAAATTCTTGCCCATGGCAGAGCTAAGAATCAGAAACCTATGTAAGAGGAATTAGGCCCTGTGCATACCTGGGGATTGGAACTCAATTTCCTCATGGGACAAAATTTCTCTACCTCCTAAATATAAGAACTGATTCTGAGATGCGGATCCCAGGGTGCCAGACTAAGGCAAAACTGCCTATAGGGAGAAGCAATAACAGGGAGGAAAAAAATTAAAAATAAAATGAATTAATTCTCTCAAGGCAAATTTGCCAACCAACATAAAATAGACTGCAGAGCATAAAGGAAATCCAACATCACTTAAAAATAACAATAAAGCACAAATAACTAAAATTCCTTGTGGAAAAACTGGAAAATGCAAATGAAGATAATTCCACCTCCCAGAGACAATTCCTGGTAAGACATCATGTACACGATTCTAGACTTGCAGGTATATATATAAATGAATACAAATATCCTTGATATTATTTCTTTCATAAAAATAAGATCACATTCTATATATTGTTTAATAATCAACATTTCCACATCATAAATATCCTATCAATAAATGTATCTTAATATTTTATTGTTCTAGTCTATTCCATTGTTCTAACAGATCAACACTATAAAGATTCTCTATTGTCAAGACTTTCAAAAGGGAATTACTGTTAATTTTGTTAAGTGTGATAAACAGCATTGTGATTATGTCTTTTAGAAATATTTACCAATTATTCACTCACACGAGAATATATTATGAATGAACTAATATAATATTTGGAATTGGCTTTAAATTACTGGAAGAAAAAGGTACAGTGATAAACACAAAACAGACTGATACAATGCTGATGACTGCTGAAACTGGATGGTGAGTACATGAGGGTTTGTTATTTTCTCCATACTTGATATATTTCAAAGTTGTTTTAAAAAAAAAAGATCCCTGTATTCTTTAACTGAATGGCAGTAACTGAAAATGAGAGTTTGTTGTTGTGAGGCCATCAAGCAATTCCATTTCTATATATGCTATTTGACTCTATTATTCGTACACTAACAATTTCCTGGGAATAAGTGATGAGTTACAGTTAATTTCACTATTTTACAATGGCCAAAATGAAGATGCTTAGAATAACTGTTAAAAATCTGAAATTAAACATACATTTAGGCTTTCTAAATCCAACTACCTTTCTTTCAAAAGCAGTGTATGTTATAAATTAAAATTGAAATGAGCTGAATAAATGATAAACACCTCAGGCTTAATATACAAATAAAACTCACTTAATGTACAAAATAACATTTAAAAATTGGGATTGAAGAATTTTTCATTTCTCACGTTCTTACTTTGAAAAGTTATTAATTTTAGAATTCTCCTCCGTACAATCCTGAAGACTGGCTAAGATTAATTTCTAGAGTCTGATTTTTACCTATTATGTATCAAAGGGATACAAATTTGAAGATTTCACTCAAAATTTTCAAGAGCCTGTGTATTACTCTAAAACATTTAATAAATTTATTAATAAAACATTAGGGCATGAATACAACCATAAAACTAGATATAGCCAATCATGTCAATATATGCCCCAGGAAATGAGTTTTATACACAAACATAATTTCTGATTATTTAACACATTAAAAAGACATTTTTCTTCTCCTCCCACCTCCATCTCAATTTTTTAAACAACAAATAGAGCTTTCTAAGTCTAAAATGTTTGAGTAAAACTGCAACTAACCTTTATGTATGCACTTGGGTAGATCTTATGAACAGCATCTCCAGGTGCACGCCCAGCTTCTCTGTCTAAGTAGTAACTCTGCACAAAGACTGCATGGTCGCTAAGGCACCTGACCCAAACATCACCTTCACCTTTACATTCCAACTGCACACCTTTGCCTATGTGCAACCTTAGGAAGAAAAAGGAAATTACATTTTGTTTTGGAAGTATTTAAAGATAAGTTTTAGTTCAGATTATACAGCATACCAAATATATTTTTTTTAAATAAAAGATGTTATATAACACCATTACTGAAAGATACCCACTGTTAACATTTTTGTGTACTTCCTTTTTTAATATCTCACTCATAAAAAAAAATGATGAGCATATATATAATGCTTACTATGTACCAAATATTTAATATAAATTCTCACTTAACCTTCACAATTTAGTAAGGTAAATACTATTATTCCCATTTTATAAATGATGAAACTAAGGCATATAAAAGCTTACAGCTACACTGCCCAAATCAACGGCTACTAGCTACATGTGCTCATTTAAATTACAAAATTCAGTTAATCACATGAGTCATATTTTAAGTGCTCAACAGCCATATTTAATGTAGGTAGTGGCTACTGCAGTGAACAGCACAGGTATAAACTGTTTCCTTCATCACAGAAAATTCTATCGGACAGTACTGGCTTAGAGAGTAAGTAATTTGCCAAAGTCACATAGCTAGTGATAGAGCTATGATTATGTACTTAAGCACACACACACTTCCTTAAAGATCTGAGATCTTATAATACCGAAAACTATGCATATTTTCCTGTAACATTTCATCTTAAGCCTTTACATTTGCTACATAAACTTTCAATTAACACTTTAATACATAAAAAAATGAAAGTTTATCAAAATTTACTTAACCATTTCCCTATTTTTATTTTTCCAACAGTATAGATAATACTTACAGAAACACGTCCTCATTTTATATTTCCTCTCAAAAGATTTATAGAAATAATATGATAAGAGAAAATAAACAAATTGGTTTCAAACTGGATACCAAAAGGTCTATTACTATTCAAAATATAAAAACATCACTAACTTAAACAAAAGACCATTTTTATCATATTTTAAATAACATCTGTAATTACAATGCAATGCTTATGAATTCTGAATTTTTAAGATGACCTTTATCTATATTCAAAAATCTTACAAATGTACACAGAAAAATGTAACTTTGAATAAATGACAAGGTACCATGTTCAAGTTTTAAAATAACTAACTAAACACTCAACAATACCTTGCTCTCTCAATGGCTTCTGTCCTGTGAACATTGGAAAGTTGACCCAAGCAAAAGCGATCTCCTCCAGAAGGGTCCACATATCCATCAACAGTAACAATAGGGCAGCTTGAAGGAACCTTAAATGTCTCTCCTACTTGAACATCCATTTCAAAGTAAGCGATGGAACACCAATACTCAGGAGCTACAGGAGGTAAATAGGAGAGAACACCTACCCATGTAAGATAGATATACGGCATTCATGTTCATTCCCTAAGACAAAGCTTTTCCTAAAAAAAGGGTGAAGGAAGGGGAGAGGCACCTGAAAAGCACCCAAAAGAATTTGATCAAAATGACAATCCATTAAAAAGTAGGTACTTCCATGTCTTCCATTTTTCAGCTCAGTACCTGAGCATTCTTGAAACTCTAGTCATTTTTAATGGTTCTTACCTCAAAGGACTCAGCCAACTAGGAACTTAAAGAACAGAAGTAATTAGATTCTAAAATATTTTATCACCATGTTTCATTTAACTGTATATGTTTTCTATATAGTCTGAACTTTTTTTTTTTTAAACACACTGACTCTAAGACATATTCCAGGTAAGTGTTTTTGAGTAACATCAATTTATGACATACTTTTATAGATCCCTAATTGAGAGAAAGGGCATAAGCAAGTCAACCATCCCAGACTAGAGTCAAGGTTAATTACACTCCATTATACAGTTGCTGTGAGCAGGATTCTCAACTGTCTCTTGGGTGAAAGGTCATTTGTCCCATCTGTATTTTTAGTGAAGTCAATTCATGTTAACTACTACAATTTTAACTTTGCAGATGTATTTAGTGTATTCATTTGAACAACAATAAATGACAAGTAACTTGGAATGACTGAGCGGGGAAAGGCACTACTATCTGGTATGGTCTGCAAATAGAGTTGATCAAGTATTTCTAATTGTTATTTGAATACAAATATTATTACATAGAGATAACATACATGGAAATTATTTGGTTTTCCTTTTTTAACTAATTTAACAGATACACAGAAAGTATATAGGAATTACTCTAGGCACAACATACACAACAGTAAATACCACAGCTATTGTCCCTGTTCTCATGGTGACGCAAAGGCAGACAAATAAGGAAATAAATGAGTAAGAGGACTCCAGGAATGATAAACACTGTGAAGAAAATAAAACGGGGTGTTTGATAGAAAATGATTGGAAAGAATCCTTTAGACTAGATGGCAGAGGTACATCCTATCTGAAAAGGTGAAATTTGAAAGACCTTATATTTATATAAAGACTATGAACAGAACACTTCAAAAAGAAAGTAAATGCAAAGGCCCTGGAGTAAAAATGAATTTGACATATTTAAGGGGAGAAAAGGCCAGTGCCACTTGTTAGAGACTAAAGTTTTCTGCTGATAAACCAATTATTTATCTGCATCTCAATGTGCCCTTTATGAACTTTGACTAAACTAGAATTTGCAGCAATAAAACTTTCAACAATCTGTAGATACTTAAAATGACAAAAAAAGTAGATCTTTCAAACTTCCAAAATATCTTAAAATGAAGTATGACTGATACTTAAAATATATTTTAAAAATCCTGTAGGGGTGCCTATGTGGCTCTGTCAGTTGAGCATCTGCCTTCAGCTCAGTTCATGATCCCAGGGTCCTGGGATCAAGTCCCATAGCAGGCTCCTTGCTCGGCAGGGAGCCTGCTTCTCCCTATGCCTACCACTCCCCCTGTTTGTGTTCTCTCTCTGACAAAAAAAATAAATAAATAAAAACTTAAAAAAAAAAAAAAATCTTGTAAAATCTGGGGTCCCTGCATGGTTCAGTCAGTTAAGTGTCTGACTCTCCAGTCATGATCTTAGGGTCCCGGCATGGAGTCCTGCTTTCTGGCTCCTTGCTCAGTAAGGAGTCTGTTGTCCCTCTCCTCTGCCCCTCCTCCCACTTGTGTTCTCTCTCTGATAAATAAATAAAATCTTTTTTAAAAAATCTTGTAAAAGCTATGTATTTAATTGCTTTTCAAAATGTTGTCAAGTGGGGCACCTGGGTGGCTCAGTGGGTTAAGCCTCTGCCTTTGGCTCAGGTCATGATCTCAGGGTCCTGGGATCGAGCCCCACATCGGGCTCTCTGCTCAGCGGGGAGCCTGCTTCCCCCTCTCTCTCTGCCTGCCTCTCTGCCTCCTTGTGATCTCTCTCTCTCTGTCAAATAAATAAATAAAATCTTTTAAAAAAAAATGTTGTCAAGTAAGAAAGTGTTTTTCAATGAAGAATTAATAAAACCAACCACATGAAGATGGTGATTCAAAAACAGCAATTCAAATGTTCTGCTACAGAGATCAAATCAACTAATCACAAATACTTAACATTTATTTTAAATATGTTTGGTTATCATTAAAACATGAAAAAGTAGTGATATACTGAAGTCCCTTCTTAAAAAAAACTAGTTCTGAAATTTTTATTAAGTTATTCTGTATTAAAGACATCCATTATGCTATGAACAAAAAGCTTCAGCAAACGTGACTGGCAGATATATTTATATTAGTTGAAGCCAAAACTAAAGAGATTGTCTAAGACAATTACCCAATATTCTAGAAGCAAAAAACAGTAATAGCATTTAAAGGGATCTTTAGACAATCCAAACAGTAAATTCTGTTAAAAACAATGCCATGAAGTCATGAATGTTCATAATGCTGGATAAAAAATAAGGTCCAAGGTACATGCACTTCCTAGTTCATACTGAAGAACATTATCCAGAAGTAAAGTGCCATGGTGAACAATCTTTTTCCATGAGAGTCTCAAGAGAGAAAAAGAGAGTTGTATTATCTCTCTGTTTAAATATGAAAAAGTATACTTTTAATCATCATGAATTGTAACATCTGCAACTCCACGTAAACCTTATTTTATTATTTTCCAGTCACCAAAGGGGTTTCTGTGTGCTTGCCTAATATGGTTACATAAAGCGGCATCTCTGAATGAGCTGACCTGTTAGTACTGAGATGAAGAGTTTTAAGAAACTTGAAGTTAACAAAGTGGCATCAGAATTGCACATCCTAGACCAGGGACGAAAAAACAACCACCTTTTAAGAGATTAAGCCCTAAGAAAGCAAGAAGAAGGGAGTTACTTTCTGAGAAGACAGAGAACTAGAAGTACTCTAAGTGGGTTCCAGAAAACTTGGCAGTGCTGCGATACAACATACCATGTGAAAAACCTCTACTCCACTCTCAATTTGCTAAACAGCCATGAAGAAACTTTTTTTTAAACAGGAGAAGGTAATAGGAAACACTCATTAAGACTTTCTAGATCTCTCTTTGCTCTTTTGCTCCAAGGACCAAATGCCATATTAACTGACAAGCCTGCAGCTTCTCAAAACTAGTATTAATAGCAGATGAAATTACTCAGTTCAGAGAGGGCTTTCTTAATGTCCGAAGTCATATGAAAGGGAATGGGACTGTTAATGTGCTTGCTGATGGTATTTTTAGCTTCTTGTTGCTGAATTAGTGAAGTTGAGCTGGTCTCATGAAGCCTATGGACTGCTCATCACTGGCCAGAGAAAAGGTTTTTAAAAACCTGAGTTAACAACATGATTTTTTTTTTTTTTTTGGTAATATAAGAACTTAGCTAAAAAAATTTTTGTAATGGGGAAATGTATTATAAAGCACAATTACACTGAAAAATACAGTCTCCGAGGCATTGTCTTTAATTTCTGAAATAAAATCATTCAAGAAGTTAAAAACTTGATTTACAGTACCCAAGAGATTCATTATGAATTATTTCTTTTATTATTTAGATCTGAGTAAGATACCCTATGAAAATCTTTTATCAACACGTAAAGGCAGTCTCTTGAATAGTAGTAGATAGTTCCTAAGTACTAGAATATAACCTGAATATAGAAATCTGCGGATTTGAACTCATTTGTGAATTACCAAAACAACCTCAAAGACACTGAGGAAACTCTTCACTTTAATTTGTAATCAATATATAATTCAATGAATACATCTCAGCTTTAAGAAAAAGCAAAAACAGAGTTAGTTCATAAAAAAGAAATAAAATGATTAACCTTTTCCAAAAATTTTTTTCAACTTGGTTATCAAAATATAAAAATCACCAAGTATATAGCCTAACCGAAATCCTTAACACCAAGGTAATGACCAATAATAATTATTTTCCTTTTTTACAATTTATATTACCTCATTTCTGAAATCATCTATGTAACTATCTTCAAAAATCATTTCTCAAAATAGATTCACTATATATTGATGGCATTTCAATATTTCAACTATATGTAATATAGTTACATACAGGGTATATGGTTATTTCCCATCTAAATGGCCTTAAGTCTGTGGTAGAATATTTTAGCATTTCTTAATCAGACCTTAAGGGGCTGTATTAACCAGACACCTGAAACAAATATTAACTTTGTTTTCTATTCCTTTATGAAACAGGATTGCAGAGTTGTAAACTAACATCTATAATTTAATAGAATTAAAAATACTAGAGGGGTGCCTGGATGGTTCAGTTGGTTTCGCTCAGGTCATAATCCCAGGGTCCTGGGATAGAGCTCCACATCGGGTTCCCTGCTCAACAGGGAACATGCTTCTCCCTCTCCCTCTGCTGCTCCCCCTGCTTGTGTTCTCTCACTTTCTCTGTCAAAAAAATAAATAATATCTTAAAAAAAAACAAACAAAAGAATTAAAAGTACTAGATAGAAGGGGACACAGGGATTAAGAAAGGTTTCCCAACAGTGGTATATGCCAGCTAGATCTTAAATACAGTTTGCCACATTTAGGACTTTAGGAGTACATGGGTGGGCATCAAGATGGCCCCTAATGATTCTCATTTCCTGATATTCACATCCTTGTGTCATCCCCTGCCCACAAAATAAGATCTTACAGAAATTATGATGTGACTTTTGAGGCTAAGTCTTAAAAGACCCCAAGGCTCTGTCTTGCCTTCTCTTGATCACTGACTCTGGGGGAAGTTAGCTATCATGTGAAGACACTCAAGAAGCTCTACAGAGAGGTCCACACAGAGAGAAATGGAGTTTCCTGCAGACAGTAACACTGAACTACCAGCTATGTGGGTAAACCACCGCAAAAGTGAATCCTCTAGCCCCAGAAAATCCAACAGCCAACATCTTGACTGCAACCTCAGGCAACTCTAAGTCCAGAGCAAACCAACCAAGCCATTCCCAAATCCCTGACCCACAGGAACGAAGATAAAGGACTGCTATTACTGGTTTAACCAGCTAAGTTTGGGGAGTACTCTATTTCAGAAAAAGTAACTAACATAGAGTACAAGACCATCAGATTTTTTTTGCATAGAGGAATGATACAGCTGAGCAAGCTTGAGTAAGTGCTTCAGGATGGTTAAAGCATAAAGAGACAAGGCTAGGAAAGCACACAGGGACCAGGATCAAGATTATATATCAGAGACTGTATGTATATATGCCCAGCTAAGGAATTTGGACCTTAGGGCCAAGCAGTAAGTAGGGGAAACGATGCAAGTTCTTCAGCAGAGAAGTAATTAGATTCAAATTTGGAAAGAAATACTGAGTAAGAGTAGAGATTAAACTATGACTAGAAGCTCTCCCAATAGGGAGACCAATTAAATATCCTCTTAACAGTACAAGAGAAGAAATGAAGAAACAGTTGTGAGGTAAAACTCCTCTGGACTTGTACGTATTCATAGCCAAAGAGTTCACAGGCAACTGAGTTCCAATCAGCTGATTGTACTAAAGACGTATGCACCGAGCTAATCCCTTCGCAAAACCACTCAGAGACCTTTCAGGATCATTCCCACCATTAAGTCACTTCCTATTCTACTCACAGTCAAAAGCTTTAATGCCAATGTGGGGTGTTCCAAATGTGTATCCTGGTAACTAGTTAATGCTATTCCCTAACCACCAGGAGCTGTCAGATCTCAACATCAGTCCTACCATGAGAAGAAGAAAAAATCTATCAAGAAGCCAAAAGCAACTGCTGAATCCAAATTGAGTCCAAATAACCGGCTAAATGCCACCATTTCCAACCTCACCTCACCATCTCATTCAGGGTGTTTTTCTCCTGATCTCTGGTTTTCCTCCCTCCTGCAGACCACCTTTCACTAATCTATATGGACACTGAGGCCCCCCAAAGTCCTAAGAACCACGACTCCTAATGATGCTCTCTTGAAGCCAGAAAAAATTCTTAATCTTATGACTCTAGATTTTCCCCTTACCACAATGTCTATTCACAACAAATTAAAATTTTGATACAACGATTTTATTTATATGATTTCAAAAGCAAGTAAAACTGATCTACTAAACTAGACGGGTGATGCATTCACCACTTTCAAAGAGCAAAAAAAAAAAAATAGTATCCACAAAAAGCAGAATAGTGCTTATCCCTGGTAGGGAGAAGGAAAGTTTTTGACTGAAAATGGGATAGGAACTTTTCTAGGGGTGTGGCAAATTTTAATTCTCAATCTGGGTGGTGGTTACCTAGGTGTTGGCTCAATGTTATTCATGAGACTATACATATAGTTGTTTTATATACTTTTCTGTATATTGTATTTCTCAGTAAAAATGTTTATAAAAAGGCAAGGCTCCTTAACCTCCAAAAATGTTTAAAGTTACAATAAATATGCAAATAACATGAAGAAAATCTACTAAAGAGGATTATTTAACTACTAATCATGTATGGTTAAAAAGTATTTCTGCCCCAGCCATAGCATTTAAAACAAATATTATTTGCCTCCTAAATCAACAAAAAGTATACCAAACTATCACACCTATACTGGTGAGCATGGTAAAACTGGTTCTCACATTCTGATACGGTCACTGTAAAGCAATTTAGCCTTTTGATTCAGAAACTCTTTAAATCTCTTAAACTGAAATATGAGAAGAGTCACGAGCTTGAAAATCTTACCCTCAATGGTTTGGGGTTTTTCTAACATCTGGAAGAAAAATTAGAACATAAAAAAAACAAACAGAACACTGTTTAAGAAAATTATGTAGACCTATTTGAAGAACTGTAAGTTATCCTTTAAACTGATCATTATGCCTACTGGAGCTATGCTTTTAAAAAATTTTTATTAGAAATACACGTTCATATATTTACACACAAAACAATTTTATAGGATTTCCTTCAAAATAATAGGTGAGGGTATGAATGAAACACAGCTGATAACAGCTGAAACTGAGGAATGAGTATATTAGGGGGAGGGGGCATCTGATATTTGGTGTATGTTTGAAATTCTTCAAAATAAAACAAATTACTTTTAATTGGGGGAAAAATTAAGTGATGAGTGGAAATTAAATATTTCCAACTTTTTAAGCTAAGGAAAAAAGGTATGAAAGGATAGAGGAAAACAAATCAAAATCCTATATTTATGCTAAGAAGCCCCCAGTATTTTATTTAAATTTTGTTATACTTCTATAGTTTAAAAAGATATATTCAAACTCTGAACTGAGGAAATCTATTTAGTTATTTACTCTTTTGAAGATTATTTAATCAAAAAGTTTCTAAAAACTCCAATTAACCAAAAATTCCTGAATCTATCTTCTGAAACAGACACAGTGAATTATCTTTATTTTCAGCATCTACTTCAGATTCTTCCCTGGCTTTTTAAGCTACATTTTTACAGCTGTTCTATTTTGAAACCTAGTTTTCTTCTGCTGCATATTTATGTATTCAATGCTAAAACCAGCATTTTGTTACTTCATATTTTAGCTGAAAAAGACAGTTCTTGTCTTTTCTTTCAGACAGTTAAAAAGAATCAAATATGGACACCCTATGTGTGACCATATCAGCTAGTCATGAACTGCTGATTAGTTAATGTGATATGAGTATTATATTTATCTAAAAAGTTAGATTACTCTGTAATTATACTAAAACGTGTATGTGTTCGTGTGTGTGTGTTTTAATTACTATAAAGAAAATCTAAATATAGGGAATCGATGTTGAAATGCACTTACCAGGATGATTGGAAATGGGAGGCTGGAATGCAAGCTCATTGTGAACTGGCCCTAAAGAAAAGACAAAAATCCCATTTTTATTTATTAAAAGTTTTCCAATGCTAAAACTTTTAATAAACCTTGCTTAAATATAACTACTGTACCTCAGGAGTTGTTTAAATCAAGCTTATGTAATATCTAAAAATTTAAAAGCTTTGTTTAGATTACTTTATAATAAGCAAATACTCGAGTTACTTTTGTGGATAGTTAAGAGCTAACACTTTAATGCTATGTGCCAAGTGCTATTAGCAATTTATAATAATTGTACATGGAAAACTTAATGTAAATTATAAATGAATTATTCATGTAACATGATAGACTATAATTTACAACGTAATATATAATAATAATTCAAATTGTAGGTCCATTCTGAAAATAAGTGTTTAAAGGTTTATTAAATTAAGGATATTTACATAATGGAACAGTAGCTAAGATATTTAAGAGATTATTAAGTGTTAAAACATCCTGCTAAACACTTCACAAGTATTACATTTACTCCTTACAACATTCCTTGAAATGGATACTATTGTTACCCTTAAGGCTTAGTTAGTGAGGATTATATAACCTGCCAACGGTCACACAGCCAGTTAAGGGGTCCAAGCTCAGCACCTTAACCACCTGAGCCAGGCAGCCATAAAAAAGTATATTCTCTAAGACATGGAAAAACAGTAACATAATTGAAAATAAGAAGGATACAACAATATATACACAGTATGATATTTTCCCTCCCAAGTGTATAGAGACCCATTTATATGACTGGAAGAAAAAATACGACAAAATTTTAGAAGTAGGTATCTCTAGGTAGGAGCACTCTGGGTAATTTTTATTTTCTTATTTACACTTTTCTGTATCTTCCAAGTTTTCTTTGGTAATATTACTCTTATAACGGAGTAAAAGGAATTTAATACATAAGAAAAATGTATGCTCTTGACTTCACTAAGCCAGATGAACAATGTTCCTCTTCTGCCTGAAACTACAAGCTATGATTATCAGTAGAGTCTCCTTCCCAAACAAGACTGCACGGAGTAATGATAGATTCAACATCTAAGTGTCTACAGTATGCTGAACAGTATGAGGATGAGTACCTTGAGATCTTGACACTCAAGGAGTTTCAATCCACTTAGGGTGGATATACAGGTATACATGAGATCTAAGAACATATAAAAAGCAAACAAACAAATGAATGGAAATCAATGTGGTGTTAATGAACCATCAGCAACAGAGAAATAAATGTATTTAGTAAACATCACTCCTCTAAAACAAAGGTATGATAACAAAACTATAAAAAGTAAATACCGTTTACCAAAAATGCTGAAAAAGCAGTAGTCATTTAATGAAACTAAATTGTAAGATGAATAAAAGATGAAAAACATTAAAAAAAAAAAAACAGAAAGGAAACCAGTTCTCAAAAAAGAAAAGGCCCTTACAACAAAAACGAGAGCTTACAGTAATGTCCGGGATGGGGCGGCATAGGCGGGTGGTGCTGAAGATGGCCGTTTTGGTGGTGAGGCAAATTAGGTGTGTATGGTGCGCTCCTACTTCCAGTCCAGGTGGTAGTGCTGTCTAAAAATTAAGGCCCACATGGATTAATTTGCTTTTAGAAAGTCTGCCTATTTTTTCTCAACTACTTAAAAGATTTTAAAAAGCATGTACATACTATGATGGTAAGTAGCTGGCTGACCAGTAAATCCATTCTGCTGCTGTCCTGGCTGAGGCCCTGAAGCTATCTGCAACAATCCTTCACTATGGCTGCCCGCCAGTATACTGGCAGGCTGACCTAGAGGAATAAGAAGACATTAATACGGTACATTGATCGATGCAATCCTATGTTTTTATACAGTAAATGAAGGACAAATTATATCTGATAATCACAACTATAAAGATGGGCAAAAAATGGAACTTGTCCATGGTCTATCAAATAACAAACCCTAAAGTTATCTATGAAGGCAAACCTTAACTTGAAAATGTCCAAAACTGTTCTACCTTAAGTAATGTCTAGCTAATTTCAGAGGACTTTTCCTTTGTAAATATTCTTCAAATGCCAGCAAAATCCCACTGTATGTCTAGCCTATCATAATAACTTCAGAAGTACATCAGCTCATCCCTGGCCATGCCATGTAGCTCTGGACCTTTCTGATTAGGACTCCAAAAGTCCAAACTCAAGAAAGTTGGTTGAAAACTGGAAATTCATTATTATCAGCACTGGTACTGGTAATGGCAAAATGCAGAGTTTGATAAAAGAAAAGCAGAGCAGGCAAATATTTTAAATGGAATGTGATGGGTAAGGTGAAGTTTAGAAAAGGTCAAGCTCCACTGTTCAATCAACAGAGCACTGCTAGTAAAAAAAAAAGAAAAAAGAAAAGAAAAACAGAAACAAAAAACAAAAACCACAACAACAAACTATAAGTCTACTTTGAAATTTTTTCATGTACTTTAAAAAATCAAAAATCACCTCCTTCCAAGAACACTATCATCTTCCTGGATTGACAGGAAATTAGCTACCCATTCTATATGTAATATACCAAGAGGAGCAAGATTTGTGTGGTTTCTGTTCTATTCAAAACCATTCTACGGTATTGCTTACTGACCTACTATTTTTTTTAAGATTTTATTTTTTATTTTTTAAAGTAATTTCTGCCCCCAAAGTGGGGCTCAAACCCACGACCCTGAGATGAAGAGTTTCATGCTCCAACGACCAAACCAGCCAGGTATACACAGCGACCTACATTTTTAAGGCTTTCTTTTTTTTTTTTTAAGTGGAAAAAGTTTGATTTCTTCAAGCAAGCATTAATTAAGCCAATTATTTATTGCATTTGGAAAGCACTGAAATTTCACAACTGTTACCTATCACTGGAATCACTTTCTCATTCAAATGGGAATACAGATAGAAGAAAGGAAATGACACCATTACTCAAAGCACCAAGGAAAAGGAACACTTTTCTCCTCTCTGCAAATCACATTTCCTTATGGTGAGGATTATAAAATTAAAAGTTAAAGAGATTACTGCAATAATCCCCAAATTATTTACTTTTAAAGATGTTTTTAGGAACCCCCTCCCTACACATATGCCCAATTTTTTCCAAGTTATCTTTAAATGTTAATTGCATTTACTCTTGCTTTTAACAACTATGCATGCCACAGACTCTTAGCTAACTTACAAGAAGTGTCACTATGCAGGTGAAATGAGATTATCTTAATTTACAGATATTTAGAAAGAAAACCTGAAAATATTCAAGTGCCAAATGAACACAGACTATAAAATAGCCCACTGTGGTTATCTCTACTGAATATTTCCATTCCACAATTCCAAGTATATAAGATGAAATTAAATAGTAGAACTAAACTATACTAGCTCATTTGAAATAATCTTCCAATTCCTGTTTTAGTCCTATTTTTTTCCTTTTAATTCTATCAATACACGTTTTGAGATCTAGAAGAACATTTTGTGACAGATTCTAAAAATAATCATCTATTCAATTAGAAAAATATTCATCTGTTCATCTATTCAATTAGAAAAATAACCAAGAAAAATTATCAGAATTTCATAAATATCACTTTTTCTAGTATTTAATAGGACTTGACTCCAGGGCATAGAACACTTAAGACCATTTCAGCAAGCATCAACAAAGGCATGCAAATTCAATCTCCAGATAATATCAACAGAAGTAAGTAAGTAAGTGGCTGCACTCTCACTAATCTATGCTTGGGTGGCTATAATGTACTTGCTTTCTCTTACTCTCCATCGCTGACTGCTCTGTCAACTATATTTCCAAATTGGTTAATAAAGCGTAGACAGATAACAGAAGCACTAAGTAATTAAAGAGGGTCCAGGTTCTAAAGTAGGTGCTTAACTCTAAACTCCACTTAGAATATGTTGTCTATGGTGAGACTGTCATCTTACAAAGCAAATCCAAAATATATTGCTTTGAAGAGGTAAAATGAATTAGAGGGAGGATATTTGGTACACCATACTTATAAACTTAATTAGAGAAATCAGTCTATTTATTCCAAAGATCAAATTTCTATTTTGAATCTGATCAGATATTAAAGTAAATAGAATACTGCTCCCTTTGGTAGCTGCTAATAAAGTACTAGTCCAGATCTAGCAACAATTACTGCTGATGTGGGCTTAGATACAATCTCCTTAGCAACCAGGTACAAATAACACCATATATAGGCCAAGACCCTGCTCTGTAATTAGTTTAAAACAAAACAAAACAAAACAAAAACTCCATTGCCAAACAGCAAACTGTGCAAACTTCGGTACTGTGAAAATAAATAACAGTATTTATAGAACAGAGTCATTATTGCCTGATCGGGCCCCAAGAAAAGATAAACCTAATAGCCCTCTGCCTCTACAATGTGGCAAAGACAATGGCATCTCTGTCATTGGAAGAATCTTTTTGAAAAAGATTTCTTGGTTAAAAATAATAATAATAATACATAGATACCTAGAATTTAGCTTTATTTCAAAACAGACTAAAATACTTAATGTCTATCTTGAAGGATATATATTATATATTATACATATTATTATTATACACATATTATTGTATATAATATATATATTGTAAACATGATCAAGATCCCTTTTTCTAAGTTTGTAAAAATGAAAACTGAAAATGACTATTACAAAGTAATATTCTGCCAGATACAGCACAACAGAAACCCTGATTAAAGCAAAGTGTACAGTTCAATTGACAGAGATTTTTATAAACACCTTGGTCCAAAACTACTTGTTAACTGCTTAAATGCTTCTCTAAAATACATCTGAAAGTGCAAGACAATTCTTACTTCTGCATGTAATAGTAGAGAAATTACAAATTAGACCACTAACTTAAATCAGTATTATAATCAAAGTCATTACTTAAATTCCAAGTGACTGTACATTAACATAAAAAAATTTAAGTAAATTATAAACACCACTTTTTCCAGGACCAACTGAGAAACCAATTTAATACTTTTTTCCTATAAAAGATACCACAGTACTTTTATTTTTACTTACTTGGAGTTTTCCTCCAAGTAGATATAATGATGACATATAAATATTAAATAGGGTAAGATCAACTTGCTGACTACATTTGATTCTACTACTCACTTGTGGAAGCCACAGGAATGTTGGGAAAGTTGGTGGTGCTGGTAGCATTAGACTCAGATGGAGCTAACAGAGCTGGGGTGCTGTACGTCTCCGTTGAGGCACGATTACTTGGTGGATGCTGGATGGTTTGAATTGAATGCCCTTCAGTTGATAATGATGGCTGTCCCTCAAAGTCATGAACATATTCATCCTTCACCAACATACTTGGTGGAGCTATATAAAAAAATTAAACACATTTTAAAACCTTATAAGCTTCAGTTACCAGAAAAAAAAGAATCTTGTAATATGACAACACCTAAAATCAACTATAGTGTAAATAACTCTAACTCAAATTTCTTTCATATTTGAAAAGAATACTTTATATGCAAAAATATTTATTTAGAAGTAGGTATCTCAGATATATTCTATCAACCTGATTGAACCCCTGAAATTTGAAACTATAGACTATAGACTGTATTTCAACAACTTCCAGCAATGGTCCTCAAGAGGTATTCCTTAGTTTCTGGACTAACCTAGAAGTAATAACCATCTTAAATACATGAGTTAGGTGAAAAGTAAATAGCTGGGGAAAATGTTTATCCACGAGAAGACAAAACTGAGATCAAGTACTTGGCTATATCTTTTTGCTAATTTCACAGTGTAGAAATATGAATGGGATCTGATAGCTATCCAGTTCCAGGATTTAGACGTACTGTTAAGCGACATGCTTTGAAAATGAAAGGTACTGAATGTCCCCTATAGGGTTAGAACCAGAAAGAAAAATTCTAAATGTAAGTCAAACTGAAATTTCCTTCTGAAAACCCAAATCAAATAATGATCTTTGACAAATACATGTGAAAAAGTTCAATCAAAATCTTTCAACTATGTGGTTATACCTTAATAAGCAAACCTAAACTCTAGCTGATAGAACGTAACACCTTTCCTTTAACAAACCTGAGAATGGTTGCCTTTGTTTTAAGAAAGAAAAGAAAACAAACTGCATTGATGTCAACTATTCTCTGCCCAGAACCTCCCTATTTGTTTTAGGCTACTGCTTTGGGGTATGCTTTTTATCTTTAGCAAACAACTCTTCATTGCTTCTAAACTAACACTCTCCCAGAATTTTACAATCCACTGAATTCCAATACTACAGTCTCTTCTTAGAACAGTCAATAAGTAGTCCACAATAAGACAATTCTCTTTTCTATTAAGAATCAACATATGGCACCCTTTGTCTTTCCCTATGTCAATTTTTGCAAAAACTTATTACACATTAATACCAATTTGTTACATGGCCCCCTTTTTTTAAAAAGTGGGGCTTGAAAAAGCCCCAAAGTGGGGCTTGAACTCGCAACCCCAAGATTAAGAGTCACACAAACTACCGACTAAGCCAACCAGGTGCCCCAACATGGCCTTTTTTTTTTTTTTTAATGAGACTATTTCAAAGCACTAAGAATGATCTGCTGTCCAAATTTCTATGTACAATCTCTTATGGGCTTCTTCATACATCAAAAGTCATAAAGGGGCACTTGGATGGTACAGTTGGTTGAGCGTCCGACTCTTGGTTTCAGCTCAGGTTGTGATCTTGGGGTTGTGAGATAAGAGCCCTGTGCGCAGCTCCACACTCATCACGGACTCTGCTTAAGATTCTCTCTCCTTCTCCCCATCCTCCACCCACGCATGCATGCACGTGCACTCTCTCTCCCTCAAATAAATAAATTTTTTAAAAAAGTCATGAAGATTTTGCAAAAAGTTTTTCTTTAAAAAATCCTAGAGAAACAAAAAGATAACTAAAAGGATGCTTAACATATCACTATATATCAGTAAGAAAATCGGACCCAAACACTCATCACTAATCTTAGCCAAATTATAAAAATAAAAGAAAAAATTGTTTGGGACACAAAGTGGATATTACTGTATTTATCCAATCTTTTTTTTTAAATTATACTCTTCAACAAAGTTCTATAATTTTCCTCATATAGATCCTGACATCCCTATGTAATTCCTGGACATTTTAGGATTTTTTGTTATTACTGTGACAAGGATCTTTTTACCAAGATATTGGTATTGCTAGCACATAAGGAGAAAGCTATTGATTTGAGGAAACAGTGGGTCAACTTGATACTCATCACTTTTGCTTTTCAGGTGACTCTTCTCAGCTTAATGTGCAATCGTAATGACTAAACTCTACTTTTAAAGAGCTATGCCTCATAATATTTTCTTGCCTAATATATTGACTAAACCTTCCCCAAAGGTAAGTGTGAGACTTCTACCCAACTATAAGTCTCTTCAGTCAAATAACTTAAAACATGTCCCTTAGGTAAAACTGTAGGATCAAGGATAGATGTCTGCAGTATACTTTTGCCAAGGGGAAAAAAGTAGGTTACAAAACACTATTGTACACTATGATCACATGCATGTTTTAAAAAAATCACAAACTATAATTAAAAAAGCAAGGTCCAGAACAAGGGCACAATATGCTTTTTATGTAAGAAAGGAGGGAAATAACACATGTATTTTTGCATAAAGAAACCCTGGAAGGAAACACCAGAAACTAATAAAAGTGATTACCTGAGGTAGGGGGGAATGGGGGCAGGGGTGGGAGCACTTCTTTTCACTGTATACCTTTTTATAGTATTTTGATTTATGGACCATGTATTGCCTATTCAAAAAAATAAAATTAAAAAACATATAGTATATATTTTTTAAGTCCAGAATAACAGATACCAAACTATTAAGTATTTTTCTTTATGGACTAGCATTCAACAAATTCATTCACTGAATAAATATTTATTGAGCACCTATGTTCCAGGTACTGTTCTGGCACCCGGAATACATTAATAAACAAAAGAAAAATCTCTGCCCTCATAGAACTTTGACTTTTCTACAATATTTTTCTACTGTTTAAATATCAAATATTGAGCACATATTAATCCAGCTCCTCCTAGCTGTCTATCTTGATCTTCATCTAATCAAGTGTGTAAAATGCCACCTTTCATGCAGGGGTATAATGAGAATGATGAAATACTTGTAACTCATATAGCTCAGTACCAGGCACAAAGTGTATACTTAGCAAGTGTTAGCTGTTATGCTTTAACCATACTTTTAGAGCAATCATACATGTAATTGTAAAATGTTCTATGAAAAGTAAAGGAATGTATACAGGACACAAAAGCTGAAGCCACTGGACCCACCCTAAGTCAGCGCTCTTCATCACCACCAGCAGACAGAGCACTGCACTATCTGATGCTACTACTGCTGTCTTAAGTTACCTTATCTTTCCTCCACTAAACTATGAGCTACCTTGAGTGGAGAAAACACACCTTACTTTTACCCTATTGTCCCTAGATCCTAACACACTACCAAGCAATACATGCTCATTAAATAGTTCTTAAAATGAATATGCAGACTGATGGGGTCCTGGAAAGTTTCACAAAAGATATGTGATAGGCTGGAAATGATTACCGTAAGATTCCAACTCAAAAGCGAAGGAATTCTCTCATTTTCTTAACTTTTTTTTTTTTTTAACCTGGCTTTGTATTATTTCTCTGTCCAAATCTAGAAGGGGCTGTGAAAAACACCTATTGTTTTCTGAGGAAATAAGCCACTGAAGCCGGCCTTTAAAAAAAACCACCACTAGGGGGATCTGCAAGGCTAAAGCAACCTTAGAGTCAATAAAAAGAGCCTATCACAATCCAACCAAAGACACCTTCTCAGAACAGCAGCATGTTAGGATGGGGGGCGGGGGTGTAATGAGTCTTCAAAACTGGCTCCTCACAACCACTCCCACTAAGGAGATTCTGATACAGATATCACTAGAGGCCCCCAATCCTTACTCCCTACTGAGGAATAATTTTCCAAAATCACGGATGGAGAATGGCGAAGATCTGAAAGGTATTTACTTTCAAAGAAAATAAATGACATAATATCAATATCTGTGTAGCAACTGGCAGGAATTTAACCAGTCTTAGAGCCACCCTTCCCAGACCACAACCACATTACCAACCCACTATTCTCAGAAATCTAACCCCTAGCAAGTACCAAAATGCACTACAGTCTTTCTCTTATATAGGGACATGGAAGAAAAGTGGACAATAAAAACAAGTAGACTTTCATGCTCTTCCTAAATTTTGCTTAAGGCTGGAGGGCATTTCTGCCTCACGTCTAAGATTCTGCAACAAGAAGCGCCAACTCACTCACTGCCCTCCAGAACAAGTGCGCGCCTTTCTAAGACAACGGTGGTTCTTTGTCAGAGTTGCTCTGCAGATTAATTACTTCTTATAAACCTTTTAGTTCATTAACATGTTCTAAGTAACAAAGCTAAAGTTTTAACAGATCTCTGTTCTCAAATATTACACTAAAAGACAAACCCCTCCCGCTACTGAGTTCATTTCCCTAACTCAAAACACACTCCTTTTTAAAACAGAATTGGATCATCGATGAAAGTGAAAGTAGCCTTGTTTTATTTACTCAAAATGTAACAAGACTGAAAAAAAAATTAATGTATGTAGTTTTAAACCATACTTAAAATTATCATTTACAAAAATAAATTTGGGAGAAACAAAGAAAAATTAGGATATTAGTATTTCTAAAGGACATGCTATACATGACTCCCGATTACCGAACATTACAGGTATTTATACCCATTTAAACTGGCTGAGATTTTCTTCCAAAACAGCCAGTTTTTACCAATTCAAAAAAAACTCTTCCTTTATATGTTTTATACTCCCGTATCATATTTTTTAGAACACTTGAGTGCATAAATGGTAGTTCAAATCCAAAGAACCACCAGCCTATTGAAATCCAGTTTTAAGGACTGACGCATGCTCCCCCAAAATTTACATTTCCAAACAAATAAGTATTTTTCTTATAAGTTTTATGTTACCAGCACCCACACAAACTAATTTTAGGTCAATAAAAAACAGAGGGGACAGAATAAAAGAAAACAGAGAAAGTTACAAGAAACAGATTACCTACCATTACTCTGCAGTGTTAATCCTGAGAGATCTTAATTTTTTTAAAGGGGAAAAGAAAATGAAATATTAATCATTACCATGAAAATATTTCCATTGTACTTAAAATTACAAAATGTAAATTTAATTCAGAGACTCAAAACTTCATGAACCATTTCAATTCAAGAAGATTAGTATAAATGCTATCTGATAGTATATAAACAATTCAATAATGTCTTCCATCTTACTTTTCAAAAACATGGTTCTAAATGGGCAGACTATGAACTATAATGTATACATAGTAATAAAGAAAAATACAAGTCTATTTTAAAGTTCAAATTTAAATATTTATATGTCATTAAAAATATCTGATTCTTTAACCTTAGTTGAAGTCCTGAGCTATACCCAAATTTATAATTTAATGTAGAAAAATTAAAACACTACTGAAATCTTTTCCTTTTGTGCATCTGAGGATAAAAGCAAAGCCTACTCACCAATTCCAGGTGATACAACTCGTTCGTAGTGATATGGATTCACACAGACACTATCACATTTTAAGTCAAACGCATACTGACAATATTTAACATGTTTGAGTTCATTTTTGTGAAGATCAGGCCACCTCCAGAGACGGGCATAGATCACATGAGGAAATCCCTTCCGACCTGCCACCTAGGAAAGATAAGACGACAACTTATTGATCATCAGTTACACATTACACATTAAATAAGGCACTTTATATATGTTCTCAATTTAATTCTTACAACCCTACAAACTCAGTATTATAATCCCCATTTCATAAATGAGAAACATTAATGAACTAAAGTATTTTTTAAGACCCATGCTCAGGCTTTTAAAATGCAAAAAAAGTATGAGTTTGTTGAATAACCATTCTTAAAATCTAGAAATAAAATTTTTAAATCTAATGACAGAATATTTCTACATGTTTCTTTAAAAATATTCAGCACAGGACACACATGATGTAATTCTATACAAAAAAATGTAATCCATAAAAATGAAAGATTAAAAATTTTATAAAATATAAGCTTTTAACTCCCGGAAGTTTTCAAAATGTGCTTGAATAGAGTCTTTTTCATACACAAGTACCAAGCATACAATATCAGACGTCCAAATTATAAAAGGGCCAATTATAACTGAGTTTTTAAAATGTACAATAAAATTTCAAAAAAAGAAAGAAAAAAGCTACAAAGATGAATACCAAAGTGCTAAAGGTATGGGGTTTCTTCTGCTTTTTATTTTTATTTTCCAAATTTTCTACACTGAATTTTTTTCTTAGAACATAAAAAATCTTTTATGATATATCTTTGTTATATGAAGAATATATTCTTCATAGATTCCCGTAACACACACCACTGCAGGATGTACGGTATCTGAAGAGACGGTGCAGACATTACATTATCTAATAGCAACTTAAGAGGAAGCAAGAATTTTTTAATCTACCACTACAAAAGACACAGAAAAACTCTCAGACAAGACTAACCTGAAGCCTCCCATCCAATGTCCTCTGTATGGTAACACATTTGCTAGGATGAGCTCCATTTGTAGTTATAGCTGTTATTAAAGAATCCAATTCATCTTTTTTCTCTTTCAGCTTCTTTACCAAACTTTCAATTGCTCTTTTTGCAAATGTTTCACTCTCTCCGCCTTGTCTATGGCACATCAAACTATGGACAATGCTCAGACAGGCATCATTACTTGTCGGTGTATTTGTAATAGACATATTGTCCATTTGTTAAAGTTATTTCTTTTAAATCAAATATGTCTCCAATTTCCGGAGAAATTTTGATCTTTTGGAGGCAGTGAAAAACAATGGCTAACGTTGCAAGGAAAATTATTAGGCATGTGGTATTCGGGATAACCTAAAAAAAAATGAGACATAGACATTAAAACACATTTCACAAAGTAGATTCAATTACTTGGGAAAAGATGGAAATGCTCCAGTTAAGTCAAAGAGTCAACGCACATAATTTAAATTTGGTGCTTAGAGTTTTAAATAAATTAAAATGGTGCTGTTTTTGACATTCCAAAAAATATTAAATCTAAATCTTCTTATTATATAAGCATGCTCAGTCAGGTCTTGTGGACTGAACCAGTCACCCTAAAGTTAAATCTTAACAAGACTTTTTAAAATGAATGCTAATGAAGACCAGCACTTAACAACTACTTAAACCTAAAAGTCTACCACTAATTCACATGAAAAATTTACCATCACCTGTTACAAAATGCCGTTTATAAGTTAAAAAACACCCATCTTTTTAAAGAGACCACTGACAACAATAAAAAGATGAATACAAATTTTTAAATGGACAAAGGACTTAATACCCATTTCTCCAAAGAATAGCCAATAAGCTATGAAAGACACTCAAACATCATTACTCATTAGGGAAATCAAAACCACAAGGAGATACTACTTTACATTCACTACATTCAATAAATCAAAAGAGAAGACAATAATAAGCATTGGTGAGGAAGTGGAGAAATGGAGCCAACATCCACTGCTCGTGGGACTCCAAAATAGTATTGTCACTTTGAAAAGTAGTCTGAAAATTCCTCAAAATGTTAAAAGATTTACTATATAACCCAGGAATTCCACTCTTGGCAATTCTACCCAGGATTACCAAAATCCTATGTCCACACAAAAAAGTCTATGTAAATGTACATGGCAGTATCATTCATAATAGCCCAAAAGTGCAGTACAAATGTCCATTTACTGATGACTACATAAATGAGTATATCCATACAATGGAGTATTATTCAGTCATAAAAGAGAATGAAGTGCTGATACGTGGTATAACATGAATGAAGCTGGAAAACATGCTAAGTGAATAAAGCCAGTACATTACAACGGGGCGCCTGGGTGGCTCAGTCAGGTCAGCATCTGCCTATGGCTCAGGTCATGATCTCAGGGTCCTGGGACTGAGCCCTGTGTCAGACTCCCTGCTCAGGGGGAAGTCTGCTTCTCCCTCTCCCTCTGCCTCCTCCCCCATGACCATGCTCCATCTTTGTCTCTCTAATAAATAAATAAAATCTTATGGGGAAAAAAAAAAGCCAACCCATTTATAGGAATTATCATTATAGGCAAATGCATACAGAAAAAAGTAGATCAGTGGTTGCCAGAGGCTAGGGGAAAGGGAAACAAGAAATGACTGCTAATGGGCATGGAGGTTCTTTTGGGGATAATGAAATGTTCTAAAATAGATAGTGGTGATGGCTGCACAACTCTGCCACTATAGTGAAAACCACTGAATTATACATTTTAAAAGAGTGAATTTTAGAGTACATGAATTATATCTTAATAAAGTTATCATTAAAATAAGAGACCACTGGGGTGCCTGGGTGGCTCAGTGGGTTAAAGCCTCTGCCTTCAGCTCAGGTCATGGTCCCAGGGTCCTGGGATCGAGCCCCGCATCGGGCTCTCTGGGCAGCAGGGAGCCTGCTTCCCCTTCTCTCTTTCTCTGCCTGCCTCTCTGCCTACTTGTGATCTCTGTCAAATAAATAAATAAAATCTTAAAAAAAAAAAAAAAATAAGAGACCACTGAATTCCTCAAAAGATTTTACTTGTAAAAGCAGTGAGGTAAATTATTTTCAAAAGAAATCAAAATACAGAAAATTGTATTAATGAAGAATCCATTCAATATGCACAAAACTAAAGTAACTTATCTAACCTTAAGATCTCACATGGAATAAGAAAAGGCCATCAGCCTAAGAATAAATGCGATAAACCTGGAGTGGAGACTACACCTTATGCTGAACTGTTTATTTGTTTGGTGATGATATTGTATTCCATGCTTATTCTTTTATTTTCTTTTGCTATTTACTTGAATCATTAAAAATCTATTCCCCACCAAGGTGCCTGGCTGGCTTATTTGCTAGAGCAAGCCACTCTTGATTTCAGGGTTGTGAGTTCAAGTCCCACAATGGCCACTGAGCTTACAAAAACACAAAACCAACCAACCAAACAAAAACTAACTCATCAGTCTCTACCAAAGCCTGTTCCTCTTCTGATAACCTCTGCTCATGAAGCATTAATTCTACTCAACTACCCAGCACTGGACAGCGTGGTAAATCATCTCTGACCTACCTCTCTCATTCATTATCCTCACATTCTCTCACAGAGTTACATGATTTTCTACCTTAGTCATTCCGAGCAATCTCCTCCTTCCTATTCTCCCTGATGCTGTTGTTGTTTTGAGCCACCTTGGCATTTCTATCAATCACTTGGTATGTAATTCATGCTCCCCTCTACGGTTACCTATTTTACATAAATGCCTCTCTTCAACTAATTATAAGCCCAATGCAAAGAAGCAGTTTTCTTATACCTTGGAATAGTAAGCATTTGCCCACATTCAGTAAATACATGTTGAAAGAATAACTCAAGATCACCTGCCTGGGGTGGTGGGGGGAGTTGGGAGTCAGAAATCTGGATTAGAATCCTAGCTCTCACACTAAGTAGTTGGACAAATTAAGTTAAACTCTCTGAATCTGGATTAGAAGGTATATACAGAGCTCAAAGAAGAAAATCTACATGAAGTGCCTAGCACATAATGTTCAGTAAAAAGCAACTAAAAGGGCACCTGGCTGGCTCAGTTGACAGAACACATAACTCTTTGATCTCATGGTCATGAGTTCAAGCCCCAGGCTGGGTATGGAGCCTACTTTAAAAAATAAAAAGGAGGGGCACCTGGGTGGCTCAGTCCATTAAGCATCTGCCTTCGGCTTAGGTCGTGATCCCATAGTCCTGGGATCAAGCCCCAAATTGGGCTCCCTGCTCAGTGGAGAGCCTGCTTCTCCCTCTCCCTCTGCCTGCCACTCTGCCTACCTGTGCTCCCTCTGTCAAATAAATAAATAAAATATTTAACAAAATAAAAGAAAATGAAAAGGAAGCTATAGACTGAGTACTAAAATGTTTAGTGTTTATAGTTTGGATACTAAAATTATTACCTTAAAAGGAGCTTTTTTTACACATTCTTTCAGTGTTTATTCCAGATTCTTTTATATGGTTCTTACAGATAAAACAAAGCCCTCTGAAAGCCCAGAAGTTTGTTTTCTTAGTGTAATGTCACACGTATTATTACCAAACTCAAAGCACATGATTAAGGAAACAGGAATTAGATAGATAAAAAATAGAGTCTAAATCTGTTGGCTGGTATTTGAATTCCATATTCTTTATGTTGATTCCTCTTTCAGTTGAACAGTTGTTTTTCTAAAACACAATGTGCATTTTTCTGTATTTCTCCTACTAAAATATGTCAAAGAAAATTTAGAAGGGCAAGGACAGAAGTAAATGACTCATCCAAGGCTCACAACTCAAAGGCATATAGGAGCCTGGCAAATTATATAAATGAATAAAATGTGTCAGGTTTAAAGAAAAGTACTGAGGACCACAAGTGCACAGCTATCTCAAGTAGGCAGCCACTGTTTACTTCCCGTGGAAGCAGCATATGAAAACACTAGCCCACTGCTGCCAGATCTTGAATGCTCATTCGGGTATGAAATCTCATTTTTAAGTATCAGCAACTTATCTGTGGAGAAAGGGGAGGAAGGAAAAGGGAGAGAGAAAAGCCACTGGGTATGCCAAACAAAACACACCTTCAACTCAAATCTGGCCCAAGAGAACCACCAGTTTGAAATCTCTGAGTGCCAACCTCATAACAATTTTAATATCTAGAATGAAAGATCTATGGTACAGAGATTATACTTGTCTTATTCATCATACATGCCCAACTCCTAGGACATGTAAGTGCTTTTTATTGTCAAATGAATATGTTTCTGTATGTGCTCTCAGATGCATGTCCATGCTATTCCTTTTGCCTAAAACATCCAGTCTCATTTTATCTATCTGAGTAAGTCCTAGTTACCCTTCAAAATGCAGCTTAAATGTCTCTCCCCTAATCCTGGAGAATGACTTTCCTGGTGTGTTTACTTTGTATTCCCTCGTATGTTCATTATGCCCTCCCTCAAATTTAAAACACACCCCAGAAATTGGAAGGGGAGGTGAATAATGAGAGACTACGGACTCTGAAAAACAATCTGGAGGGTTTGAAGAGGTGGGGGGGGGTAGGAGGTTGGGGGAACCAGGTGGTGGGTATTAGAGAGGGCACGGACTGCAGGGCGCTTGGGTGGCTCAGTGGGTTAAAGCCTCTGCCTTCGGCTCCGGTCGTGATCCCAGAGTCCTGGGATCGAGCCCCACATCGGGCTCTCTGCTCAGCAGGGAGCCTGCTTCCTCCTCTCTCTCTCTGCCTGCCTCTCTGCCTACTTGTGATCTCTGTTAAAAAAAAACAAACAAACAAAAAAACAAAAACACACCCCAATTACAACTCAACACATTATAGTTATTTGATTAGGTATTTGTCTCATACTTTGTTGCCACAAATCTAGAAGTTCAAGAAAACAGCAAAACTTTTTCACCTTAGAAATTCCCAGCACCATGCACAGTTCCTGATATATACGAGGCAAACACAGACTGACTAGCTTTTTTATTCTGTGGCATTTCCTTGCAACAAATTTTAAAGACTATAAATACTTTTGTTGTTGAATTCATTTCTGATACTACTTTCCAGAAGATTTATGCTAATTTAAAATGTAATTACAATGTTTGAGTGTAACTATTTCACCACACTCAGATGTTACCATCCCTAAAACTTAAGCTATATGGGGGCCTAAAGCTTTAATTGCACATTTCTTTGAAAATTGATAAAACTGTCTTCACTTGGCACCTGAGTGGCTCAGTTGGTTGAGCAACTGCCTACAACTCAGGTCATGATCCCAGGGTCCTAGAATCAAGTCCCATATCCCCTGCTCTGCAGGGAACCTGCTTCTCCATCTCTCTCTGTCTGCCACTGCCCCTGCCTGTGCTCAC